GCATATACTGTCAAAACGTTTTTGTCAATGGTCCTTTAAGAACAGTTAGTGCAGCAGGGCCCTTGCTGACCTGTCAGTATTCGAGGCACATTGCTCATTACTGTAGCTAGAAAACAAAACTATAAATAAAGCATCACTAGCATATGTTTGTTCAAATATATAACTTTTTTTAACTTATGACGTTCTGGTTAATTTCATTTTTATAAATTTTTAGTTCACCTGGTACAAAGTGACAGCTGAGCTTATGGTATGGTGTGTTGTCCGTCGTCGGTCATTTTTTCTTTGAACAACTTCTTCGTATGAACTGGAGAACCTAGGGCCATGATATTTGGCCAGTAGGTACCTGGCATGAAGTGCTATAAGGTACGTTGTCTCAAGTAAATTACCATGACCTTCTTTCGGGGTCACAGGGGTGAAATATTTTAAAACATTTAAACAACTTCTTCTGAATAACCAGGATGCCCAAAGTAATACTACTTTGCCAGTAGGTACCTGGCATGAAGTGCTATAATGTGTCCTCAAATAAATGACCTTGACCTACTTTAAAGATCACATGGGTCAAATGTGTTCAAAACCTTTAAACAACTTCTTCTGAATAACCAGGAGGACAAGAGCACTGATACTTGACCAAGATGTGCCTGGGACAGAGTGCTATTAAGTTTCTTCAAATAAATGAACTTGACCTACTTTCGAGGTCACAGGTGTCAAATATGTAAATATCTTTAAAAAACTTCTTTCACAATACCAGGAGGCCCGTGAATGATGATATTTGACTAGAAGTGTGCTGGGATAAAGTAGTTCAAAATTTTATTTAGTCAGGAACATTCATAAGCCAAGGAGACTCAATATATGGAAATATTTGCAAAAGTATTTTTGTTGAAAATATATTCTCATGATTGCTCAAATATCCAGCGATACAGACCTTCTGGGCGGGCTCTTGTTAGCTCATCTGCCCGAAGGGCAAGTGGGCTCATGCCATGGTTCAGTATATATCATCCGTCCGTCCATCAACTTTTCGTTTAAAACGCTACTAGTCCTGAACAGCTGAGTGGATTTTAACTAAATTTGGTCTGGAGCATCCATGGGCCAAGAACACTAAACTTTGTATAAACGGTCGGTGTGGCCCCTCTGTGAGCAGAGAGGCAAGGCCCAATGGGGAAATAGAGGTGAACCTTTAAAATCCTTCTTCTACCATAGAGATGAAGGGATTTCATCCCAATTTGGTCTGGAGTATCCTTGGGCCAAGGGCACACTATTTTTGTATAAACGATGGGTTTTGCCTCCCCTGAGGCAGAGGAGAGTGGCCCAAGAGGGGAAATAGTGGTAAAACTTTTAAAATCTTTCTTCTAGCGTAAACCCTTTATCCCTATTTAGTCTGGGGGATCCTTGGTCCAAGGGTACTCAATTTTGTATAAACGGTGGGCGTGGCCCCCCTAGGGCTGTTGGGTAGGGCCAAATAGGGGAAATCCTCTGAAATCCTTTGTCACCCAAAGGATTTAAGGGATTATATATCAATTTTGTCACCATCAAGTTGTCTAGTAGTGCCTGGTACTGTGAGATTGATTTCATTAAAACAAGATGGCTACCAGGCCACCATCTTGGATTTTGACATTTGAAGTTTGTTCTCGCTATATCTCGAGAAATACTGGATGGAACTGGATGTACAGACAGTACCTACAGTGGAGTGCTATACCTTTTCCTCATATCAAATACTTTAAACAAATCCAGGTGAGCGATACAGGCCCTCTGGGTCTCTTGTTTGTTAGAAAAACAAAATGTGAAATAGATTAAGACTAAATTAATGATGAAATACATTTGGAAAGGTGTACATAGTACCAACAAGTTTTGTACAAAATCATTCATTTGTTTATTTTCTTTGCAATTAAACTAATAAAATCATAAAAAATGATTTTTGTATGCATCATGTACTAATTGGCTATAAGCCGAAAAATTGCATATAACATTTACATGTGTACAATGATCTCTTCTGCCATTATTTTATGCATTCAGAAACTGCCATATTGATGTACTTTGAACATGGTGAATAAGTCACAAGCACTTTCAAAAACATTGCTTATTGTGAGATTTCATTTATATCATTTCAATTATGTAAAGATTGATGTAAAAAGTAGAAATGGAAATTAAATTATGACAATGTAAATACAAATTTTATCAGAGTGGGAGAAATAATCTCATTCATGATAAAAATTTCAATATCACATAAAAAATGAAGTCACATTTTTATTTCCACACTTTTCAAACAATTGTCATTCCTGAAAGCTGACTGTGGAGGATGAAAATATTACCAAACTACCGGGTACCAGTGTGCTCCCACTACACAGGCCTCTCATATTTGCTATCATAGTGTTGCGTCAACCTCACGGACCTCCTATCAAAAGTTATATTTAACTTCGGTATGTTTAAAAACAATACATTAGCTCTAATGAGCTATTAAAACCGACAGGTAAAAGACATGCACAGCTCCACAATAAATATTTAGCAGACATATTAAAAGATGAGCACTATCTAATAGAGAGATGACATAAGTAGAGGTAAGAAACATGTTGTATAAAACTGTATTGTGGGTCTATGTTTTGTCTGCATGTGTTGCATTTGCATATTGGCTCATACCAGCTGTTTATTAATTGTGTAAGTGTAGTTGTTGTTCTGAAGTGGTCTGGTAGGGCATTCCAAATTTTAGGTGCTTCAGATCGAAATGAGTGTTTACCATACTTTGTAGTCCTAACATGTGGTATATCTGCTGTGTTGTGATATCTGAATGTGTATGATTTTTCTGTGATGTTGATTAGGTCATGTAGGTATGTTGGTGATTGTTTATTTGTGAATTTAAATACTTCTATTGCAAAATTTCTGAGTCATCTGATTTTGAGTGATGGTAATTTTGAACGGGCTAGTAAATTTTCATTTGTATTTTCGTGTTCATCGTAAATCAATTTTAGAGCCCTTACTTGGATTTTTTTCCATTTTTTGTGTTTGTCTGACCGCAAAAGTGCCATGTAAGTGGACAGAAATTAAAATTTGAGAGGATAAATGAATAGTATATTGTAAGTTTGCCTAATCTGTTACGGTGTTTTCTAATGCTATGAGTGAGTTGAGCTGTTTACCAGGTAGATGCTTTTTTGCAGATGTTGGATACGTGTGTATGGAAGTTTAACTGGAAATCTATGGTGACCCCTAGTAATTTTACTTCTAGTTCACATTTTATTGTGTTGTTGCCTATGTTAAAAGTAATGTTTTCATTGTGTGCTTTGTTTCCTACGGCCATGGCTTGAAATTTGTCTGGGTTTGCTTGCATATGATTGTTTGCGAACCAGTGAATTGCAGTGTTTTGACTGTCTAGTGAAGTGTGTGATTTACTATTTGTATTGTCATCGGCGTAGTTGTAGAGTTTACAGTGTTGTATGATGTGGAAAATGTCGTTTATGAAAATATTGGACAGAATTGGGCCTAAAATTGATCACCGAGCAACTCCTTTGAATAGTTCCTGAAAAGTATTTTCCTAATTTGACATTTTGTTTTCTGTTTTTGAGGTAATTCAACAATAGGTCGGAAGTCGAAATAGAAAGTCCATAATTTTGAAGTTTTAGAAGGAGGTTGTGAGGCAGACAGTCAAAAGCCTTAGAGAGATCCGTAAGTGTGCAGCCTACATACTTGTTCTTGTCAAGTGCCATTTTCCAATCCTCAAAGACTCACAATAATGCTGTCTAACATCCGTATCCAGCTCTGTATGCAGAGAGGTAGGGATGAAAAACACCATCAAAAGAAGTCACTGAGTTGGGAGTGTATGGATCTCTCAAAGACTTTTAGAAAGTGCCGGGAGTATACTTACCGATCTGTAATTTCCTTTCTCAATTTCTTTTTGTGTATTGGTCCGACTTGTGCTGTTTTTAGTGTCTGGAAATGTTGATGTAGTGAGAGAGAGATTTACAAGTGTGGTGACTGGTTTGATAATGCTGGGTTGTGCCAGTCGTAGTAGTTTGGGTGAAATTTTGTCGTGTCCTGTTGCTTTTCTAGGGTTTATTTTGTTGAACAGTTTGTTTATGAAATCTTCATCTACAGGTTGAAATGTGAAGTGTTTATCTTTTTGTCTGTTTTTATTTGTGATTACCTGTAGGCTAGGGTGTTCATCATTTTTTTTATCTTTGCTACTTATCTTATCCACTACATGGGCCTCTCATATTTGCTGTTATAATGTTGTGCCCGCCTCACGGGCCTCCTTTATTTGCCATTATAGAGTTGTGCCCACCTCACAAGCCTCGATCCTATCTTTACTATTATAATGTTACGCCCACTTCATGGGCCTCCTGTCTTTGCTAATATTCTTATGTTTCGCCCACCTCACGGGCCGCCTAAATTCGCTTTTGCTCTGTACCTTAATATTAAAACGAAAGTAAACGTAGATGACGTCATCATGTATTTATAGACTTAAAAATTGACGGTCAAGAGAGTGAAAAACGTGAAACGTGAAAAATATAGACAATTTCTTTTCCGCCTCCAAATAAAACACATACTCACTTTCTGAGTAAGGCCCGAATTATATAACCACATACTTATATAACCAACGTGATGTAACCACGTAGCCCGCTTGCGTGCTCAAATGAAAACGGGCCGATCCTTGGGGCGAAAAGGTGAAGGTCGTTAAATTTGTCGAAAATAGAAATTATGAACAACGTTACAAAATTGTTTATAATCAGTTTACATGTAAACAAAATAAACACAATTTAAGAAACAATGCCATAAAAATTATGTGCAAATTAAAATTTCTGAAAAATGTAGTTGTCGCCGAGTCCACTTGAAATGAAATCAGCACATATTTCCCTCCGTGATATCAGCTCATAATATCGTAAAGAGTGTTTCTTAAACTTAATCTAATGCAGTGTAATATTTTTATATGTCTAATACTTTAAGTTCGTGAATATTTTAACATCTAGGTATATGATTTGTAGAATTAAAAAAATATTATATAACGGGTATTTACCCTAAAAATGAAATCGTCCAGGAAGCTTATTTGTGACGTCAGACCCATCGTCCTTTTCGACCGGTAATTTTCCTCCGTCAGACCAGCGACAATACGTTGTGAAAAATGTAAGTACCTTTCCATGAATGGGAATTTTGAAATCGACTCTGCATATGAGTAATTTAGTAGACTGTAGTTGTAGTTAAATATATAAACGTACTTTTAAGAATGATTTGGGGCTCTTTCGTGGTATTAAATCACCTAACAACGAAACCGACGTTTCACCGGGAATTCAAGGACAACCACATGTCATTGCCTTTGTAGCCGTTTTCGTAATTCATTCAATTCGCTGTTTCATAACAATTGTTCGCCTGTTCTCATCATCAATGAATAAGTTTACGTTTCTCAGTTGAAGACTGTTTAGAATAAGATGTATCTTTTTGAAAAGGAAGCATGATTGTGTATGTGACAGTCCTTGGTTTAAAGGTCACAATGCCCCGGTTTGGACAAAAAGTCAACTGTCAAATTGGGTAAAATGCTTAGTATAGATCACAGTTGCATAACCTTTAGAAGCTGTTTCATAGTCCTATCTCAAAATTGGTTAAACCTCATCGTTTAATTTCAGTTAACTCAGTTAAGTTTTCCCTTGAAGATTGCGAAAAGGAACTGAACTATTTTTTATTCAATAAGTTTGTTCCAAGATGGTTGCTAGTCTAGTATTAATTTAGAATAATCGCCGAGTCTCTTTATTGAACTTTGTAATCAAATCGAGAGTTTTTACCAGAAGCCAAAACGTCAAAGAATTTTAAAGGTAAGTTTTTTAAAGCTAAAGGAAGTAAGCAAGTTTGTATAACTTATTGAATGTAAGCTAGGAATACCCATTTATTTTTGAAAACCCAACCATCTTGGCGAAATGTAGTTATTGTTATGAACTGAATTGGTAAATTCAGTAATTGGTAGGCAAGTCATATTATTTCTTGCATAAGGTGGCAGTACCCAAATTGGATAGATAGCCATGCACCATTTTTTGACTACAGATAATTAGTTTTAAAGTTCAAATAGCGCAAGAAAACGTAATTCAAACTCAAATGTGAATGTTTTGATTACTATAGAAATACTTTTTGTCATACAAATTCTAAAGGTCATCATAAAATGATAATATGCTGACAAAAAAATATTCATTTGAAGCGTACAATACTGCAAAAGTCAAGCCGTGATCCGATTTGGGTCCCGACATTCACAAAAACAGGAGACACTGATTGGTGACTTCAGAGCGTTCTATAAATATCTCAAGTGAGTCCCGGGTGCTAATTTCGTTTGTGAGAATGCCCATTGATATTCTATTTTTGATACAATCATAAATGAATATAATTCCTCCTCAGATATTTCAATGATTTAATAAAATGATGGTTTGGTGATCTGATTTGGGTACTGTCACCTTATACATATTTAAACTGAATCTTTCTCTGCTCCTGAAGTATTGGATAAGTATGCAAGGAATTCCTTGGTATGGGTAACATACTTGGTATGGGTAACAGACTTGGTATGGGTAACAGACTTGGTAAGGGTAACAGACTTGGTATGGGTAAAAGACTTTGTATGGGTAACAGACTTGGTAAGGGTAACAGACTTGGTAAGGGTAACAGACTTGGTAAGGGTAACAGACTTGGTAAGGGTAACAGACTTGGTATGGGTAACAGACTTGGTAAGGGTAACAGACTTTACAGGTTTTCAATGGCCAGTCTTTATTATGTTACATAACAATGTTTTGGCTGGAATATTGTGATGTCATTTCATGGCAGTTGTTTTCCTGATCAAAACTATCTTGAGTTTTCAAGAGAAACCAATGGTTTTCAAGACAAAACATATGGGTGAAAAGGACCTCCCCAAACTGGTGATAGCTGTTTGTCATGTTTACATAACTCAAGTTAGCGCTTGAATAACTTCATTTTCAAATTGTCAAAAGAGACTCTTGACCACTTCTTGATGTGTCATACAAATTCATTGAAATTCGGTTTTGTTTCAAGTTTCATAAAAACACAAGCCTTTAGATAGTTTTCTTTCCCTAAAGGCTTGTGTTTTTATGAAATAAAAAAAAGCATAACTGTTTAAGCCAGCTATAATTTTATCACCAGGTTATAAAGCTAGGTTCAATGTGTTTGCTGTTTTAACATAACAATCATATTGAATATCTTGTTAAAGCATTATTTATTTTAAACAATCAATTATTTCTAATGAAGACGTACTCTTTGAACTTGAAACAAAATCAAATTTCAGTGAATTACTTCTTTGACCCATACATTGTCAACATATATATAGCTGACACAAATTCAAATTCTTTTACTACATTGAGCTTTATAGTTCATCTATATAACATGCACATACAAATATTACAAGATAATAACATGATGTGTGGGACACATAGTGCAGTGGAGAATGGACATCAGTACAATTTACATTAATGATTTTCTCAAATTGGTAGCATCACATATATATTTGCTTAACATATTACAGCGTATTTTGAACAGTCAACCCAATTAAAAACATCATTTTGTTTGGGTAGTTTCATCAAAACTGCATACGCAGTTTTCAAGATACAGTTATTGGAGTTAACAATTTTTAACCAATATTTTATCATACAATATTTTCTTATATTGCATGTTGACTTTTTAACATGAAGTATCCTTTTACAGAATTGGAAATGCACCTTTTCAATGTCTAATCCTTTACTGGCACCCCCAGACTTCTGCTATGCAATACTGTTGACATATGTGTCAAATAAATTAAAAAAAGATGGTACAATTCAACTGCATAGACCTGCATTTAGAATACAGAGCAAACAATTCTTTTCGGCCTTGTTCGGATAACTGCTTTTGTAATGCATTAAACTTATTATTGTATCTAAAAACAACTCCCAAATATACAATCTGATTATCAGATTCCCAAATATGTGAATTGGTCTACTACTTCCATTATAAAACCATATGTCATCTTGATGTATTCTTCCATTTTTCCGAAAAAACAATTATTTTCGTTTTTTCCACATTAACAGTCCTGCTCCATGATTGATCATAATAAGTATATGAATTATCCAACATGTTTTGTAAGTGGCTTACGGACTCTGCTAATAAGACTAAATCATCGACACACATCATCAGGAATAAACTCAATCCTCCAAATTCAAAATAAAATAGTTTTCAAAGTCGTTAACATATAAAGAAAACATTATCGGTCACATAATTTCCCCTTGGACGCGGCCTATGTTGTTGGTGAAAAAATCTGAACATCTTCCATAAATCACGATTTTACTTGTTTATACATTGATTTGATAGCTGTAAGTAGTTTCTCTAATACCTAATTGCGATAACTTATACCATAATTTATACCTGTTAATGGTATCAAAGGCCTTTTTTAAAAATCTACAAAACAACAATACAGACCCTTATTAAAATGTAAAGACTTGGCAATTATTGCAAAGATAGCATTGGCCGTACTTAAACCGGGACATGTATGTAAATCTTAATCGGGCAAAGCCAATGCACATAGCTGATTATGAGTTATGTTTAGTAAAAAAAAATCAACCTACTCCATTGGACCATAGTAAAGATTATCATGTTAAAATAATTACTTTCTTAATTTAGAACCATACAAACTTGTTGTTTACAGGGGAGACGCTGAAAAAGGCAAGAAGGTATTTGTGGTGAAGTGTGCTCAATGCCACACCATTAACCAAGGTGGTGCTAACAAAGTAGGACCTAATCTTTATGGAGTATTTGGAAGGCAGTCTGGAAATGCTGCAAATTTCGCCTACACTGAGGCTAACAAGAAAAAAGGTTTGTTAATTTTCTAAGTTTTTCAAACTTTAATGAGACTACAGAATGATCTTGCCAAATATCTAAGTGTAGTATTCTGTTGCAATGTTTCGTAAATAGAGTTAGCTTTTATCATTTAAATGCTAATACTATATCTATCAAGAGGCACTAGCCAATAGAATCTAGGTAAGGCCTAATAAAACATTTTCATACCCTGAAAACTAGGACCAGTAGCTATAGGTTGGGAAATGTTTTATTCATAAAATTTAAATAATAAAGAGTCTTAACTAATTGAGTTAAAACAGTTCATGTTTACTCATTCTAAGATTTGCGCCAAAACTTCCAAGGAAGACTGTCAAAAGAAAGTGTCGCACGGAAAACTAAAAACTACATACCGGTAGTTTTTTTCATGGCATTGACCGATATTCCAGCCTTTAAATTTTTTACTTAAATTTACTGTTTTTAATTAATGTTTATTATTTTTCCAACAGGTGTAATATGGGGAGAGGAAACCTTATTTGAATACTTGCTGAATCCCAAGAAGTATATTCCAGGAACAAAGATGGTGTTTGCTGGCATCAAGAAAGCCAAGGAACGAAAGGATTTGATTGCTTACATCAAGTCAATGTCATGATGAAAGAATACTTAGATAAATCAATTGAACTATTTATGAACTGATGTCTTAGTGTTAACTGGTTTAATGACAATATCATCAAGTGAACAAAAATCAAGACAATGAAATGGAAAGCCATCATCAGTCATACTGCAGCTACAAGAACATCTCTGAAAGACTTGATTTTAATATACTGTGCCAGAATATGTTTTTACTTAAACTTAAGTTTTTAATCTGCTATTAGTAATTCAGCATGTCAAATCCTTGTTGATATTGGAACTATCTGTTACTTGATTTTAACCAATGAGATTTATTATTTGAAGTGTGTGTAAGATGGTTTTACCAGATTAAAACAATTGTTAGGGAAGGGTAGACATATTTTACTCTCACTTTCCTCTTTATATTGTGAACATGACAACTTAAAGTAAACTTTTAATGTCACTGGATGGCTATGCAGGTCTAAAGTAAATTGTAAATTTTATCTCATTTCCATTGGGGTTGTTTTTTCTAGATGTACATGTTAAACTGTGTGGACATTTTAATAAAATAGGCTGAATGTTATCATTCTGTTTTTGTCTTGTTTTCAAAAATGTTTACACATTGTATCTTCAATGCAAGGAGTGTAATTTCATAACATAACTCTTCCGCAGATTATAAAAAACTTTGATAGCCTGACCTTTATTTTCCTAGTAAATACTGAAAATTACTGCTGAACCTGAAGTTTTTGCCAGCTGCAGGAATATGTTAATGGGATTGTATGACATTGCGATGTAATGATACATATGTACAAGCATTGTCAGCTAAGATGTCAAGAAATGTGGAGCGAATTTTATGAAATGCGACCGAAGAGTTTTGTTTGGAACCTACCAACATTATTACATATGAACAGTAGCTAAAGGCTTGTGTTATTAACATTTAAAGTTAGAGATATTTATGAAGATATCAATAAGCAGTTGAATGTTGACCTTTAAAACTTTGACATACAATATTGCAATTAAAGTTATTTGTATGAAAACTTGGGTCAGACAAACAAACAAATCACGGTTTCTCATGTCCCACCATTAAAGGCGGGACGTATTCTATTAGATCATACCTAACTTCTGGATGTAACTTATTAGCAAATAAACTGTTGTCAACAGACTCTCATAAATTGAAGGTCATACAAACACCATGTACCTGTTATGAGAACCACAAAAAGCTCAGTCAAAACTTTACAAGAGTAAGGAGCAAATCTTAAGCCTCTCTTAAGCTTCAATATCCTCTAGAAAACATGCAAAGAATCTTCAAATATCTACTGACCATTACACATTTTAATGACTACTTACCATTACACATTTTAATGATTACTTACCATTACACATTTTAATGACTACTTACCATTACACATGCTAGAATCAATACCCAGGGACATCAGAAATAAATGTTACTTCCGAGTGCTACACCGGAACAGATTACATGTATGTCGCAGATTTAAAATATATTTTTATTTTAATCATAATAGGCCACAAAAAGTGGGGCTGGGTAATGCAGAGAAAGGAAAGCAGATTTTCATCCAAAAGTGTGCCTTTTGCCATACATTGTATGAAGACGGCCCTAATAAGAATGGGCCAAACCTTTATGGACTCTTTGGGAGACCGACGGGCTCGGCTGAAGGATACAGTTACAGTCCATCTAACGTCTATAAAGGTATAATGTAAACTGTATTGGCAAAACGAGAATGTTCAGTCATGGATTTACGTGTGCATAAAGAGAAACCATATTGTGAGATGAAGGAATTTCTATTCTCAAAAGAGCGCTGCAGTGTTGTGTGTAAATTTATGGTAATTTAGAGTTATGTAATACATGATATAGGTTAGGGATGCGTTGATGGTCTACCACTGTTTTTTGCTCGTATCGGGGCATGTTTAAAACTTTTATGAAATTATTTTGGTTTATGCAGTGTTCCATAGAGCTAGAGTGCAAAGCAAAAGTAAATTAACACACATAAATATAAAGGCCATTCTTTTAGTGTTGTCAAAGGCGTTTTTGTGCGATATTATGTAACTTATTAAGGAATGATTTGAAATTCATTAACTTTTAACAAATACAACACTTGAATTTAATTTTGATCTGGATTTGAAGTTCAATAATACTGACAACGGCTATGGCCAACTGTGATGTTTGCACCTGAAGTGGTTTCTTTGCAATTCTTGTAGAAAAATTCTGATTTTCATGAAACTTCACAACAAATATGAAATATGGCTGCCAGTGGCCATCTTGGATTATATATAAGTACATTTCTCAGCAACAATACAAAATAATCTTTTGGTTTTGCATGATAAAACCTGTCTGTTATACTTATTTACTCATTTCCCTCAGTTAACGCTATGATTAATAAATAAGTTTATTTTGGGCAAAGTATTTTCGTTGTTCATATTTTTTGAATTTAATCATTACCATGCATACATCATCATGAATTCAATGTAAGGGGGAACAAATATAACAGGAAGAAAGGGTCAAGTAATGAGATTAATTTTGATCAAGATTTTTATAAAAGGAAAAGATACCAAAGTGTGCAATTAATTATTTAGTTTTTATTATCATTTCAGGTATTATTTGGAATGAGCATATGTTGTTTATGTACTTAGAAGATCCAGTAAAATTTATTCCGGGAACAAAGATGGCTTTTGGTGGCTTGAAAAAGGCCCAGGATAGGAATGACTTGATTGCGTACCTGAAGAAAGCGACATCATGATGAACAGTTTTCTAAATGTGCAGACAAAAATGGATATTAATACACGTGCTAGCAGCTATGTGATAGGAGTGGAAAGACACAACTGACCCTTTGGATCTGATGATTTAGGGGCAATACTTGTAAACTGTTTTGATGCACCACAGATGATGTCATCTGCAGGATCACTTTTCACTGGGAGGTTCCACCCTAAGCTTGGAGCAAGAAACAAGATTCACATCCTTTCTTGTAGAAAATGTCTGGAAAATACTTATTGAGAAGTAATTGTTTCCTGCCATTCTCCGAGACAGGAACTTCACAAACTGAATCATACTCCTTGTCTGTGGATAGCGAATATCTCTTGTCATATTTTATTGATAAGTATGTGTATCATACGGTTATAAAATGATAACTTTTCCCTATGTTATCAAGCAGTCACTGAACAGGCTGTTTTGCAGTTGCAGTTTGCTCGGAAGAGATCCTTTGATTTTATGACACTTTGATTATTCACGCAAATTGATGAAATTGTCATTTTACATCAGACAAGATCATGTACATGTGTGGCAGGTATTTTGTTTGTTTGTTACAGACTGACTAATAAATACAGGTTTTTTTCAGCCCTCGCCGTATCACACCTCAAAACCTGTATCAGCCCCCGCCGTATCACATCCCAAAACCTGTGTCAGCCCCTGCCGTATCACACCTCAAAACCTGTATCAGCCCGCAAAACCCCTATCACACCCTATTTGGAAATTTTTGGCCCTTTTTCAATATTTCAAAAGAAAAAAAAGATCCTATGATAGTAGCTTTTATTAGTAAGTATGTAATAAACAGAATAAAACATGACTTTTTTCGTATCACACCCAGTATCAACCCTCGTCCAATATCAGCCCTCGGGACGATACTTGGTGTGATATGGAAAAAGGCATGTATTATTCTTTATATAGTTGTACACATGATTGTGCTCACTGTCTAGCATCAAACCAGTTCTCTTAAACTCAATTGGTAGAGTGGCAGACTGGGATAATGGGGATCACTAGTTCAATTCCCAGTGTAAACACAATACCCCCTTTCAAGTAGCACATGTACAATAAATGTGAGGTGACTGATAACAGGTGAGGTGACTGATAACAGGTGAGGTGACTGATAATAGGTGAGGTGACTGATAACAAGTGAGGTGACTAATAATAGGTGAGGTGACTGATAACAAGTGAGGTGACTGATAACAGGTGAGGTGACTGATAACAGGTGAGGTGACTAATAATAGCTGAGGTGACTGATAACAAGTGAGGTGACTAATAATAGGTGAGGTGACTGATAACAAGTGAGGTGACTGATAACGAGTGAGGTGACTAATAACAGGTGAGGTGACTGAACATTGGGTGTCTTTTGAGTTGTGAGATTGACCGTGTGTAACTGAACATTGGGTGTCTATTGGTTTGTGCGATTGACCGTGTGTAACTGAACTTTGGGTGTCTATTGGTTTGTGAGATTGACCGTGTGGAACTGAACATTGGGTGTCTATTGGTTTGTGAGATTGACCGGGTGTAACTGAACTTTGGGTGTCTATTGGTTTGTGCGATTGACCGTGTGTAACTGAACTTTGGGTGTCTATTGGTTTGTGCGATTGACCGTGTGTAACTGAACATTGGGTGTCTTCTGGTTTGTGAGATTGACCGTGTGTAACTGAATATTGGATGTCTACTGGTTTGTGAGATTGACCGTGTGTAACTGTACATTGGGTGTCTATTGGTTTGTGAGATTGACCGTGGGTTACTGAACATTGGGTGTCTACTGGTTTGTGAGATTGACCGTGTGTAACTGTACATTGGGTGTCTATTGGTTTGTGAGATTGACCGTGGGTTACTGAACATTGGGTGTCTACTGGTTTGTGAGATTGACCGTGTGTAACTGAACTTTGGGTGTCTACTGGTTTGGGAGATTGACCGTGTGTAACTGAACATTGGGTGTCTACTTGTTTGTGAGATTGACCGTGTGTAACTGAATATTGGGTGTCTACTGGTTTGTGAGATTGACCGTGTGTAACTGAACGTTGGGTGTCTATTGGTTTGTGAGATTGACCGGGTGTAACTGAACTTTGGGTGTCTATTGGTTTGTGAGATTGACCGTGTGTAACTGAACATTGAGTGTCTTTTGGTTTGAATGAGTGAGTGATATTTAAGGAATAAAACCTCATGTGTTGAATGAATGACATTAGAGATCTGTTGAAAATGTTGGAAGTGTACATTTACACAAAGCTATTCATATGAATACATGTATATGTTTTTGAAAAAGAATATTGGATTTTGAAATGGAATCATGTGGAAAAATGTTACTTTAGCGTTGATGAAATGTAATCATGTCTTAATTCTTTTATTTTTTAATAAAAAATGAGGAAAATCTTAATCTTATTTAATATTGTTTTAAAATACCCATCTTACATTACTTTTCCTTGTCCTCATTCTTCTACCCTTATGAATGGATGTTTCTTGATGAAACTTGCATATTGTAATTGTGACTTTTTGTTTACAGGGTTATGGCCCTTTATTTATTTGTCAAATAAATTTTGTCTGGAGTAGAACTTCCTTGTTATTTCACAAACATTTACCGAACTTGGTATACTTATCTTTATCTTGGTAAGGTGGAGAGGCACATACAAAAATCAGGTCTTGTGCCCCACCTATTTCACCTAGGTATACATGTGTAGCAGATTTTAATTGTACATTTGATCACATTCGGAATTTCCCTTTAGCTCAGTGGTGGTGCGGTTCGGATCCCCGGTGGGATCTTCGACTACTTTCAATAGTAGTCGAAGACTAATGGTATGATGTTGACAACAGTGGAAGCACAT